ATTCCTTGGAATATTATACCTGGACTTTGCCCCTTGTACTTTTTCCTCTGCTGATTTTGCATATCCTTGCACTCAAAAGTTTTGGCTGTGAATATGACAGTGTACTTTGTCTTGTAAGTTCTCTTGGCAAAGTGTTGAACCCCTGAGGGTAATCTTATAACATAGATTAATAATCTTTTAACATATTCCTCTACTAACCTGATTATAAAGACACAGGATTTTAAATCTGATATTGGCAAGAGGGAGCCATTATAGAACCATTATAGATGGAACACTGTTGTAGAACAATGACATGATAAAAATAATGATTTATACCTTTAGAACTGGAAGTATTTATAATTTTTCAACCCAGTTTCTTTCCTGTTTTTAGGGACACCAAGAAGACTGAATGGTATTAGAGTAATAGTTGTGTTCAGAGTGGACTCAAAGGTGTGGACAGGAGACCAGTTTAGGTGACTTTTGCAGTAATTTAGTTTTTTATTTTTTAATTGTCAGTGGATCTTTATTTTTATTTATTTATATGTGGAGAATTGAACCCAGTGCCTCACACGTGCTAAGCAAGTACTCTACCACTGAGCCTCAAACCCAGCCTAAAAAAAATTCAGTTTTGAGATGAGAAAAAGCTTTGACTTAAATACTGATATTTAGAATGAAAACCTTAACATGAAGCCAAAAAACATGTTGAAGGAAAAAAATGATAGAGGGCTATCTGTTGCCACTACAGATGGAAAGTTTGGGTAAAGAAGGGAGAAAGGGTACAAAAGACTGCATTCCATAATTTTTTTTAGTAGTTCACTAATATTCTGACTTTTCAGAACTAGAGTTCTTTTGGGGCATGTTTCTCTATTCCATGCTCTAAATATTTTTTTCTGTTGTAATGAACGTACTTATATTTTATTTTTTTTAGAAAATGTGAATAGGTGATTTATAATTAAAATTAATTATTTCATTTGTGTTTCCCTGTATTTCATTAATTCGCTCATTTTCTTTCTGAGAAAGAAAATCAAACATTCCATGCTATTTTGCTCTCTCTTTTGTCTTTTCTCCGGAAGTAGATTTATGACATTCAGCCTGCTGAGAGGCAATATTCTACAATACAGAAAAGACTTTGATGTCAGACCTGGGTTTCCTTTTAATTGGTGGTATTATAGTTATATGTAATGATGGAATTTGTTGTTACATATTGGTACATTCACATAATACAAAATATAACAATGTAATTTGGCCCATATCACTCAGCATCATTTTCTCCCTCCCTCCCTTCTTCCTACTCCCTGGTCCTTTTTATCTACTTATCTCCCTTTGATTTTCATGATATCCCTGTCTGCCAACCTTTTTTTTCCTTTTTTCCTTTCTAGCTTATGAGAGAAAACATAATGACCCTTGCTTCCTTCTGAGTTTGGCTTATTTTACCTAATATGATTGTAAGTTCCATCCACTTTTATGCAAATGATATAATTTCCTTTTTCTTATGGCTGAATTAAACTCCATTGTGTATATAAACCACATTTTTGTTATCCATTCATCCATTGATGGACACCCAGGTTGGTTCCATGGTTTGGCCTTTGTGAATTGTGCTGTTATAAATATAGGTGTGCCTGTATCACTATAGTATACTGACATTCATCCTTTTTATTTTTATTTTTTTGGTATTGAGGATTGAACCCAGAGGTACTTAACCTCTGAGCTACATCCCCAGTTCTTTTTATTTTTTATTTTGAGACATTGTAGGGCATCTGGGTTGCTTTCACAGTTTAGCTATTGTGAAAAGAGCTGCTATAAACATTGATGTGGCTGTGTTACTATACTATGCTGATTTAAGTCCTTTGAGTATAGACCAAGGAGTGGGATAGCTGGGTCAAATGGTGGTTCCATTCCAAGTTTTCTAAGGAATCTCCATACTGCTTTCCAGAGTGGTTGCACCAATTTGCAGTCCCAAGAGTAACGTATGAGTATGCCTTTTCCCCACTTCCTCATCAACACTTATTGTTGTTTGTATTCTTGATAACTGCCATTCTGACTCATATGAGATGAAATCTTAGAGTAATTTTGATATGCCTTCCTCTAATTGCTAGAGATGTTGAACATTTTTTCATATATTTATTGATCAAATGTATATATATATATATATATATATATATATATATCTTCTTTTGAGAAGTGTCTGTTCAGCTCCTTAGCCCATTTATTGATGGGATTGTTTGTTTTTTTGGTGTTAAGTTTTTTGAGTTCTTTATATATCCTGGAGATTAGTGCTATATCTGATGTGCGTGTGGCAAGTTGCTTAGGGCCTCACTAAGTTGCTGAGGCTGGCCTTGAACTTGTAATCTTCCTGCCTCAGCCTTTCTAGTTGCTGGGATTACAGATCTGCCCCACCATGCCTGGCTTGATTTTGATTCTTTAGGGTAAATAACGAGGAGTGGTATAGTTGGGTCATAGGATGGTTCCATTTTAGTCTTTTGAGGAACATCCATATTGATTTCCAAATGGTTATACTAATTTAGTTCCTTTTTCTCCACATCTTCTCCAGCATTTATTATTATTTGTATTCTTGATGATTGCCATTCTGATAGAAGATGAAATCTCAGTGTAGTTTTAATTTGCATTTCTGCAATTAGCATGTATTCATTGGCTATTTGTATTTGTATTCCTTCTTTTGAGTTGATTCTGTTTAATTCATTTGCCCACTTATTAATCGGGTTATTTCATGTTTTTGTGTTAAGTTTTTTGAGTTCTTTTATATATTCTAGATATTAATCCTCTGTCAGAAGAGGAACTAGCAAAGATTTTCTCCCATTCTGAAGTTCTCTATTCACATTCTTCATCGTTTCCTTTGGTGTGAAAAATTTTTTAATTTGATACCATCACATTTATTAACTCATGGCATCATGTCCTGAGCTTTAGGAATCCTATTGAGAAAGCCATTGCCTGTGCCTATATGCTGGAGTGTTGGCCCCATGTCTTCTTCTATTAGATGCATAGTTTCTAGTTTAATTCCTAGGTGTTTGATCCGTTTTGCATTGATTTTTGTACAGGGTAAGAGATAAGTGTATAGTCTCATTCTTCTACATATGGATAACCAGTTTTCCCAGAACCATTTGTTAAAAAGTCTGTCTTTTCTCCAAAGTATGTTTTTGGCATCTTTGTCAAGGATCAGATGACTATAGATGTGTGGATTAGTCTTTGTGTCTTCTTTTCTGTATCGTTGATCTATTTGTCTGTTCTTATGCAAGTCCCATGCAGTTTTTGTTACTTTAACCCTGTACTATTATTTGAAGTCAGGTATTGAGATGCCTCCAGCATTGATTTTTTTTTTTTTTTTTGACTTAGAATTGCTTTGGCCATTCTCATTCCTATGAAGAATGTCATTGGTATTTTGATGGGGATTACATTGAATCTGAATATTGCTTATGGCAGTATGGTCATTTTAGCAATATTAATTCTGCCTATTCATGAACATGGGAAGCATTTCTACCTTCTGAGGTCTTCTTCAATTTCTTCAGTGTTCTAGAGTTTTCATTGTAGAGGTCTTTCACTTCCTTGATTAGATTTATTCCTAGGTATTTAATTTTTTGAGATTATTGTAAATGGAATTGCTTTCCTGATTTCTTTCTCAATGGATTCATTGTTGGTATATAGAAAAGCTATTGGTTTTTGTATGTTGATTTTGCAACCTGCTGCTTTGCCAAATTTGTTTATTAGCTCTAGCAGTCTTTTGGTGGAGTGTTTTTTTTTTTTTAATCTTCTAGGTATAGGAGCACATCATCTATAAACAGTGATAATTTTACTTCTTCCTTCCTTTTTTTTTTGAAGGAGATACCAGGGATTGAACTCAGGAGCATTTGACCACTGAGCCACATCCCCAGCCCTATTTTGTATTTTATTTAGAGACAGTCTCACTGAATTTCTTAGTGCCTAGCTTTTACAGAGGCTGGCTTTGAACTCACGATCCTCCTGCCTCAGCCTCCTGAACCACTGGGATTAAAATTGTACACAACTATGCCCAGCTTCCTTTCCTATTTTTATCCCTTTATTTCTTTCTCTTGCCTAATTGTTCTGATTAGAATTTCTAGCACTATATTAAAATAGAAGTTGTAATAGTTGGCATCTTGTCTTGTCCCAGATTTTAAAGAAATGCCTTCAATTTTTTCCCCATTTATTATGCGATTGGCTTTGGTATTTTTATGTATAGCCTTTATGAGGTTGAGGTAGGTTCCTTCTGTCTCTAGTCTCTTCAGTGTTTTTATCATGAATGGGTGCTGAATTGTATTGAAGGCCTTCTGTGTATCTGTTGAGATGACTTTATTTATGTGGATTTTGTTGTGTTGATTTCTGTATGCTGAAGTGTTGGCCCCATATCTTCTTCTATTAGATGCATAGTTTCTAGTTTAATTCCTAGATAAGATGCAAAGAATTATATCAGTTTTTTTTTTTATATTTGTTAAGAGTTACTTTGTGGCCTAAAATATAGTCTCCTTTGGAGAAGGCTCCTTGAGCCACTGATAAGAAAATGTATTCAGCTGTTGTTGGATAAAGTGTTTTGTAAATGTCTATTACGTTCATTTGATTTATAATATTTTTCAGGTCCAAAGAGTCCTGAGTTTATATCTATATGACCCATCTATTGAGACAGATGTGTTAAATCTAGTATTATTGTACTAGGGTGTTTCCTGAGATTAAATTTGATTTGTGTCTCTTTTATGTAACTAGTAGCACCCACATTTGGGGTATAAATATTTATTATTATTATTTCTTCTTTTGGGATTGTTTCCTTTACCAGTATGAAATAACCTTCTTTGTCTCTTCTGATTAATTTTGGTTTGAAGTTTGCTTTTTCAGAAATGAGAGTAGTACTCCTCCTTGTTTTCATGCTCCTTTCATGTAATTTGTATGTAGAACAAGGTGTGCTATCTTTTGGCTGCATTTAGTTCAGCCCCAGAGTCTCTACTTTGTTTACTTGTAGTGTCTCTGTAAGTTCCTACCACCTTATAGAATAGGGCCACAACATGGAACACTTCACAAATTTACATATCATCCTTGTGCAGAGGCCATGTTAATCTTCTCAGTATTGTTCCAATTATAGTATATGTGCTCCTGAAGTGGGTATTCCACTGTCACTTTTATAAACTAAATGTTCTTAAGTTATTAAATGCTTCTTGAATTTAGTTTCTTTATCTCTAAAATGGTGTTATTATACTTAAACATACAAGGTTAAGAGAAGATATAATAATCTGTAAGGTACTTTGGGCCTGACTTATAGACTTTAATTAATACTCCTTATTGCATATTCCTAGGTATATCAGTCATGAGGACTCTAACCAAACTTGGACTCTAAACCTTTACACTAGTATGTATTTGGTTGTAATTGCCTTTCCCACCAACCAGAAAAGGTTGCTGGAAGATTGTATAAGCCACATTGTTTTTTATACCTATGAGTTATATTTTTGTAAAGATGGCATCCCTCAATGAAGGAGTTAAGTTATTTGCAATTAGTGTTATTTTCCTTGCCTGTCTCTCCTTTTCTTTCATTTCCAATTTCTTCCCTCATGGCCAATCTTCTTAAACTTTAATGTACATATGAATAACTTAGAATGACTCAGAATGACTGCATGTTAACAATTTGTAGGAGATATTTGCAGATATGCCATACTTTTATAATAGGTATGTTCTGACAAAATTTATTTATTTATTTGTAGTTGTAAATGGACAGAATGCTTTTATTTTATTTGTTTATTTTTATRTGATGCTGAAGATCGAACCCAGGGCCTCGCAGGTGCTGGGCAAGCAACTCTACCACTGAGCCCTCCAACAAAATTTTATGTATATTCACATTTTGGTTCTTTTGAGCAAATCATTTAAACTTTTTTTTTTAATCTATTTATAATTCTCTTTGGTGCACACCTGTAATCCCAGTGGCTCTGGAGGCTGAGACAGGAGGATTGAGGGTTCAGAGCCAGCCTCAGCAACAGCTGTTTCCCTGTTTCTAAATAAAATACAAAATAGGGCAGGGGATGTGGCTCAGTGGTTGAGTGCCCCTGAGTTCAATCCTTAGTACCCTGCTCCAAAATCTATTTATAACTCTCAATTGAAGTAAAATTGATTTATTTACTTTAAGGCTCTTCAAGTAGCCTTAAACTTATTAAATTAATGGTTAGTAAATGGCTTTGTTGTTCATGTCATTTAGAATCTTCTAGCTTCAACATGTCCTTCTGGGTGTTTCTTCTTTTGCATGGGACACAACTTCATGAAATTAAAACAGGTGTTGTAGGGAATGGTGAAAAGGGCATAGAATTTATAACGAAGGATACAAAACCAGGTTTGAATGATAGGTTTGTCTCTTCTATGGGTACAATTTGTGGGGTGGTTAATATTGGTAATTGTAAACAATTAAAATGGTACCTCATGGGGTTTTGATACGAATTAAATGTATAAATATGTTCAGAATGCTTGTGTGAGGCTTGAAAAGTACTCAATATAAATGTAATCTGTTATCTTGCTGCATCCGATAAGCATCCTGTAAACTGTTGCATACTTAATGATTAGTAAATACAAGAAGGCACAGTAGGGCTGGGGTTATGGCTCAGTGGTAGAGTGCTTGCGTAGCATGAGTGAGACACTGGGTTTGATCTCAGAACCAAATAAATGAATGAATGAATAAATAAATAAATAGATAGATAAAAATTAAATAAGGTATTGTGTCCATTTACAACTGAAAAAAATTATAAAAAGAAGAAGGCAGCATAATATAATTTTTAGGGCTGTTATTCTAAAGACTTAATAAGAAGTTAAATTATACTTCTAATAAGCACCCACACACTTATAAATGTACACTTTTCTTTTACAGTTTCCAGTTTTAAGATAGAGGAGACTTGAACCAAGTTTGGAAACTCAAATGCTAGAAGAGGTGTACCTCTTTGATTATGTCAGAATTTTGAGAGTGACCATAAACAAAATTAGTGGATAAATGTTTGAGGAAATAATTGCAGAATGGAAGATGACATAGAAGAGTTGATTCTAGTAACAAAGGACTAATATAAATTATTTCAGAAGGGTTGAAAACAAAACAATTAAAAAATAAGGTTAAAGAATACAAACCAAGAATTTTACAGAACACACACACAAGCTAGGTATGGTGGCACACACCTGTAATTCCCGTGGCTCATATCTACATACCCAGCAAATGTGTAAATTAAGGCTCAAGCTCAATTATAGACAGGAAATGCAAATTAAAATAACATTGAGTATTATACCTGGTAGACTAGCAAAAATGAAAAAGATACATAATCTGTATCTGACAGGCTCATTCAGTACTAAGTGTATATTAATTGGTTAAGCCTTTTTGAAAAGCAATCATAGTATCTTTTGGGGGGGGGGGTGCCAGGGGTTGAACCCAGGGAGACTTTACCATGAGCTTCCTCCTCAACCCTTTTTTTTTTTTCTTTTTTAATTGAGGTAGGGTTTTGCTAAATTGCATAGGGCTTCTCTAAGTTGCTGAGGTTGCCCTCCAACTTATGATCCTCCTTCCTCAGCCTCCTGAGGTGCTGGGATTCCAGGCATGTGTCAACCATGTTCAGCCCAATAGTATTTTTTATTCAAATAAATATATCCTTTTTCCCCCGTACTGACACAATAATGAAAAAAAAAGTAACTATAAGTAAGGGTACATATATATTTAAGGTTGTTTGTAATAGCATTGTTTATATGGGAAAAGAAATCCCAAACCAAAAAAAAACTAGAAATGAGTGGTTGAATCATACTTTACAACCAGTAAGAGGTCTGATTTACACCTATACCATAGGAATTCCATTATTTGTTATGGAATGAGAAAACTAGTAGGCAGAAGTCTATAAGATGACAATATCTGACAAAATAGTGCCTTTCCTGCTTATAAGCTTATTTCTATATGTCTTTTTAAATGATTACATAGAAAAGTTTATGAAACAATTTATTTGTAAATATCAGTTATATTGCAGGAGAGTAAACAAAGCAAACCATGAGAAAGAGTGCATGTTCTATGATTACATTTCTGTATTAATATATTACATATGAATTGTATGTAAGAAATGAAAAATGTGCTTTTTATATTATCACAGAAAGATGGCTATAATTTGTTCTTGAAGAAAAATTTAAATTTCACATGTTACTTTGTTTGTGATAAAAGTTCTGTAATTCACACTAAGGAAGAAAAATTTTTTAAAAATTTATTTTTTAGTTGTAGTTGGACACAATACCTTTATTTGTTTGTTTGTTTGTTTGTTTGTTTATATGTGGTGCTGAGGATCAAACCCAGGGCCTCACATGTGGTAGGTGAACACTCTACTGCTGAGCCCCAGCCCCAGGGAAGTAAAGTTTTCATATTAAAAATTAATACAGAATTTTCCAGATAAGTAGGAAAACTTGAAAGTTAATTTTTTAAAAATTGAGTATTGATTTTGGTTGTCTGTAATACAACTTTGCCTTATATTTTAGGAAGCTGAAGATGATGGACATAACAACAACCTTCTTCCTCAGGTTATTCAGTGTTTTGCATGTCCAAGTTGCTTTCTTCTTTTTAGCAATAAGGATGACTGTCTAAAGCATATGTCTGGAAAGAACCATTTCCACCAAAGCTTTAAGAATCATTTCCATCAAAGCTTTAAACTGGGCGGTATGTTATTATCTTCTGCAAATTATTAAACCACATTAATGTTACTTAACTAATTTATCATACTTCTTTACCATTCTTTTTTTCTTTTTTGTGGGGGGTGGTGAGGAGGAGTACCTAGGGGGGCAGTCAGCCACTGAGCCACATCCCCAGCCCTATTTTATTTAGAGAGAGGGTCTCAATAAGTTGCTTATTAGCACCTCACCTTTGCTGAGGCTGTCTCTGAACTCATGATCCTCCTGCCTCAGCCTCCCAAGCAACACCGCACTCGGCTTCTTATACCATTCTTTATGTTGCTTATTTTCCTATTAGTTTTAAAAACTATGAAAGTGAAAGATTTTCATTTGAATTCTTATTTTTAATAAAGATTCTCAATATTTATTTGAGTAAGGATTGCTTTGAGGAGGACTACTTTGAAGAGTGAAGAGAAACTTGGAAAGAAAACATTTATTCAGTATATATGTTATATTCATGATATCTTGGAAACTGGGTATTTCTCTACATTTTATGCTCAATTTCTAATTTGAGTATAGGGCATCTCTTGTATTTAAGGCTAGAAAGTGACTTCCCTTATAATTTCATCTACATTGTTTTACTTAATTCAACTGATGTTGAGAAAGGGAAAGGGGAGAAAGATTGGATCATTGTATATTCAAATGACTTTGCAAGTTATCATTTATTTTGTCTTTCAGCTGACAAAGGAATAGCACATCCAGTATCATTTCCATCTTATGCAAAGAAACTTTTGATCTCTCTGTGCAAAGATGTTCCCTTTCAAGTAAAATGTGTGGCTTGCCACCAGACACTGCGTTCTCATATGGAGCTCACTGCCCATTTCAGGTTGGTACAGTTCTAGTCTTAAGCTGTTAGGATATCCTTATGAGCTGTTCATCAGTGGGAAGATTCGAGAAATACTTTCCTATTCATGTTTTTCTACTTTTCAAATAAGAATATACATTTTCTTGGAAATTAACCAAATTTAGCATAGTGAGAGAAAGGTGTAGCTTGGTGATAAAGCACTCTAGGTTCAGTCTCCAGTACTGCCAAAACAAACAAAACCAATTATTTTTTTAAAAAAATATTATTTTAGTTATAGATGGATAGAATATCTTTATTTACTTTTATGTGGTGCTAAGGATTGAACCCAGGGCCCTACATGTGCAAGGCAAGTGCTCTACCACTGAGCTACAGCCCCGGCCCAAAACCACTAATTTTTTAAGGTGTCTTATAGTATCACATTTTTTTTAAAGCCCTTTTCAGCCAGGCTCGGTGGCATATGCCTGTAATCCCATGGCTCTGAAGGCTGAGGCAGGAGGATCGTGAGTTCAAAGACAGCCTCAGCAAAATCAAGGCACCAAGCAACTCAGTGAGAATCCTATCTTAATAAAATACAAAATTGGTCTGGGGATGTGGCTCAGTGGTTGAGTGGCCCCGAATTCAATCCCCGGTTTTAAAAAAAAAAA